CAGACAGATAGAAGGAGATGTTAATCGGGATTGAGAGAGAAATCATGACTGTTTTCTTATTCCTCTTGAAAAGATGAAGCTGAACTTGTCTCCACAGCTTAATCTATAAGCTGCATTAAAGCTGTGAACTGACATGTATGTGACATAATTGTCACGCGAGTATACTCGATGATTCAAACAATTCTGAAATTCTGAAAGCCCTGCCTCTAGGCATTTTGTGTCCCCATCTCCTGGGCATTCATGAAGCAACATAAAAGACAGAAGTTCTTCAAACCATGCTAAAAATCCGAGATGGTCTGAGTTTGAGGACAAAGTTGAGTTCTGGGCCCCGTTTCATTAGTTACAATAACTGTTATAAGCTACTGAAATCGTGGCATTTGAAAGGCTTAGAATAAGTTTGTCGTACAAGTTTATCATTTGTTATGGTAACAAGTTTTTTAAACAGGTCCTGGTAATACAGTTGCATTGTGAATGAAACCTTACAAATAATCAGGTATTGAGAAATTGGGCGCGACCTCAAAGCAAAAAATAGAATGAAATTTTAACCTAGGCGTATCTAATTGGTAACAATATTACATTAAGCTTTCACCTTTTGATTATGAAATATAAGAAATTCATTTCTATCGTATTATGCTGTATCAAATCATGACACTAAATGTGCACGTATACAGCCGCTGATGTTTCGTTTTCTGTCCTCAACGCATAGGTATCATGATCTGCCATTGTTATCATCCAAAGTCTATACAAGTTACTATCTGCAACCATCGTTTTCATAACAAAAAAGCTAACAATAGTTCGTTCCACAAACAACTTTCCTTTCACCCGTTGTCCTCTCCATTCTTGTGTCCAAGCTACGGGTTATAAGTAGCCCTCATCACCAGTTACGTAACTTCGCACCTTTTCTCTAAGAATGACTCTCGTAACTATTATTATCAGTGTCGTTGTGTGTAGGCTATTAGGGACTTTTAGATTTGCACGAAGACAATGTGGATTGCTACGGTCGACGTCCTTTTAATGCACTGCCTTAAATGGACGTCACACGTATTAGTCCACGCAAATCTAAAAATCCCTATTATTTGCTTGAACTAGTCCAAATTTTGTTCCAGAAGTATATTCTTCCGTTCCCGGATCCGTGACCATTACTTTGTCCTATCAGGGGGGGGGGGTATTGTTCACCCCTATTACGTAACTTCCGTACTCCTTTCCAGGTGTGGCTCGAGTTACAATAGACGCTCAGGTGAATGCCTTCCATCTCATTCAAAGAGTCTTTTTAACATTAAATTATAGTCAAGCGAGTTGTTGAATTTGTTTTGAACATATAATTAAGCTTAGAATTTAAGAAAAATAGCATCCGTGACTATTTTAAGAATGTAATGATCTGCGCTCAGTTTTAAGCATGCAAAAGATGAACCCTATTCGTTACTATGTACGAATTTCTATAAAATTATAGATTATAGTTACTGATTATCTTTAATGAATGTGTTATCGTAGTCACCATCCATTAAGCTATTTTGCATTTTAATGCACCTCCTTTAGACTGATTTATCCTTACTTACCTTTATAGTATATAGTAAAATATTATCGCTCTATAAATAATCGGCTTCGTGTGTTTCGTGAAATACGCTTAATATTATTTAGCCTAGATTTCGGTGATTGTGAATAGATTATGGAAGGTCGCCGTTGGGGGTTAGGGCCGGTTGACATCCCCAAAATAAAATTTCTGTCGGCAATTTGGAATCTTTTATAATGGGCTACCCAAACGTACAATTATTTATGACTCTTTCTACCGAAGTCAGCAAATTCGAAAGAAAGAATATCGACGCCTTTCTTGGCATGGTTTTTTTGTCTTATCGGTAATTTTTTGTCATTTGGCGACGCCTCTGCTCTAGATATTTAGGATTTAACGGCGGCTGCATTCTCAGCTTATCTTGTCACCGTTAAGTGACAGGTATTTGACATTTTGTCAGGCAAATTAATCATAATAATGATGATAATCATTATAAATTTTGTATGAAATTGGGCAGTCATGAATGAGTTCGCTTTCGGGCAATATGTGTTTCATGACGGGTGAAAAATTCCTGACGCAAAATGACACGCTGTGCAGTGTGCGGTTAAAGGCAACGTAACAGTTGAACCGTATAATTGATGATTGATGATGAGAAGCTTGAATGTAAGGAAATTACTTGTTTCGATGTGGGAACCTTATCCCCCCCCCCCCCCCTCACCAAAAATAGTAATAATCGGGGACTCATGAACAACCCGAGGAATTAATAAATGGATATGAAAATAACAAAAACATCGGCAACAAAATAAAATACAGCAACGACGACGAAGGATTTTCAAAATTAATTTCATTAACCGAAACCAACGAAATCTAAAGTAACTTGCTGGAGCTCAACAAGATTTAAGCCTGGACTTTAAATGAATTTGCCAAGTTTTTAGAGAAGTCACGGATGCTGCCAAAACAAATCATATTAATCGCGATGACTGCAGGAAATAACGTGTTTAATCATAAATAAACGGTGATTTCATATCAAAACAGACTCGTGGATGCAGGATAGAATTACAGCTTTCGATAAAAAAATAAGTCAACAAATAAAATTAAAAATGAAATTAACCACATAGCATTTGAATGGGACATGTCTCGGGGTCTTCATGCTCAATCCTCAGACTGAATTTCATAACAGAGTTAAACTATATGATACTGTCTGTTTACATACATGTACATGAAATGTTAGAATCATCATAAAGTTCAATGTAGAACGTCATTTGAAAAGGGGGAGATTCACATCAACCATTCACAAGCAACCAAACTAAAAATTGAAAAAAATATACTACAAACTCAAGTCTGGAACCTGTAAAGTTTCTGTACAATGGCCTGGCATTCTAGCTTGTGTTTTTGTGAGGCGTCAAAATCTGAAATCGGCACCTATCTGACAAATTGTCACTTACTTTTAATAGCGACTTACATGACATTCTAAGATTAAGATGAATTCTTGCTGTCAAAACCCCTTTTGGCTGCAGGCATTGTATGACATTCGATTAAAATTCTTCAGGAAACTGAACACGCGGTTCTGAAATTGGCACGAATGTCGCAAACTATTCCATGACCATGCACAACGGCGAACCCAGCGTTGCATGGGAGGAAACGCGGTAGGCCCATTTACACTGGCCTAGAGGGAGATGGGTGGAAAATGGGGGAGAGGAAGGGGGAGGGGGCGTCATGCGACATGCGGGCACAATTTAATAGGTATATATACCTCCCCCTGATGGGCTTCACTTTTTATTTCTAATCCCTGGATACGCCATAGTACTAAATTGTAAAACGAAAAAAGAAATGGTTGTCAATATTGAATTTGCCTTCATGCAGTATGTGTTTCATTCCTTGAAACTCCTCAAGCAATGAAAAAAGAGGAAGTACGCAAATAAAGTTCTTTCGTCACTTATATTTGCAAGGCTTAACATATCCTGCATGTGCATCCATCGTGTTATGAAATTTGGGAATAACATGTTTGAAGAATTTGGTTTCAGATATGATTGTAGTCATGTTGTCTGTAATTGTATAACAATTCTGGGAACAGGATGAAGTTATGATTATGATGAAATGATATATCAAGATAACTCTGCACGCTTCAGGGAGGAAGGGATAGAGAGGGAGGGAGAGAGAGAGAGGGAGAGAGAGAGAGAGAGAAAATTAAGCAAATATGCAACAATGTTTCTGGGAAGGAAGTGGTTTCTCTTCTACTTACTCATGCATTTGTATTCTAAGCCTGCAAAAAAAAAAACGTCCAGGATAGAAAACATAGGCCTACTTAATCTTGCAAAAAATGGAAAGGACATTTTGAAAACGTAAAAAAATGAGCAGTGTCTGGTGTCGACATATTTGACAAACGATGTCGGAAAATAACAAAATATAATTTTTTGTCCTTTTCTTTCTTAATTATTTTTTGTTTGCATGGGGGAAGGTGGGGTTAACAAATCCAAAACACCTGGTAACCCCAACAATCAATTTTGTTCCATGTCTGAAATTTTGTAACTCTGATATTTGATGGAAATTTTTTAAATTAATAACTATGTGTTGGCAAATTTGGACCGACAGCTAAATTCAAAACGGTCATACTTTGACCCTGAGCATCGGTAATATCATCCCAAATGAAATCAACTTCTTTCAGCGATATAAATGTCAATTGTTGACATGATACAAGTCTCATAATGCTATACCTCTTTATTCTTACTGTGAATTTGTCTGGTATGTGGAATGACAAAGCATATGCCAAACGAAATAGTCAATCAGTACATCAAAAAATTGTTTCACATTTTTCAGTAACATATCTTTCTGTTAACGATCTATTCAATGTACCATCTAACTTCCTGAAATAAAAAAAGAAAAGGTTATTAAAAGTGAAATCATTATTTTCTACTTGAATATTTCTATTAGGTTTGGTATCTATGTGATATAGAGAAATTTGTAGTCGCACTTTCAGGGATGTTATACTTCTTTCCCCGTGTTCACGACAATGTATTTCCTTGATGAGTTGAGGATGAAGAAGATAATTATTAAGCCTAATGCATGTTGGGGGAATCTCGCTATAATTGTATTATTTGATAAAACACTCCAAGCAGGAAATTATCTAGAAAAGCTTGACAACTTTCACTCTTATCCACCCCTCCCCTGCATTTACCATTTTCATACTAGCTTATCCATTGAACCCCTTTCTCTTTGTCTTTCGCTTTTGATAGTCTCTCTTTCTGCTGTAATTATCCTGTAACGTCTTTTTATCCGGTCATTTATGATAATGAGACTGATAAAAGATGAACAAAAGTTTCGTTCCAGAAATGTATTTTCCGTTCCCGGATCCTCACCCGTTCTTTTGTTCAAACTCGAGGATAGGGGAATGGGGTATTAATCGACCCATTCACCTGTTACATAACTTTCGTAACTCTTCCCCGTATTATTGTAAGTATAATAGATGTCTTTCAAAGGCGCTTTGTCCAGGCTGAGACTTTAGGTCATTGGTTCAATGTCTAGGCCAATCGCAGTGGCGTAAAATCAAGGCCAATTACGCTGGCTTGCCCATACTGACTCTTTGGCAGGTGTCTTGGGCAATAAATTCAGCTTTCCAGATTTCAAATGCCATTTTAACTGAGAGAGAAGGATTACCTCACTCCTTTCCGATCAGTTTGCTATACCGAGATCACCTAGACGCAGCCTGTCGTCTGTCAACTTTGGTATCGTATAAGTGTATCAAAAGCAACCTTCCTAATTTGCTGACTGTCTTGAAGATTTGTTTTTAATTACATTTTTTTTTCTCGAGATTTGTGTTTATTCATAATGTCGAGTTCGTCGAGTGTATCTAGTACGTCGCGCAGCTCGTCTGAGTCTGACGCTGAGCAAGAACCACCGGTCGTTCTCGTTCTCGGCCACAGCTACATCAGTCGCCTGAACAAGTTCATCGCGTGCGATCCACTTCGCGCCAACCTCGCTCTTGAGAAATCCGCCGTACTCTCTTTCATGATCGACGTCGGCCACGACCAGCCAGGCAACGTCTTCTCGGCGTCTTCGCAGCTCGACCTCGTCTGGGAGCTATCCCCAGACGCCGTGGTCCTTGATCTCGGGTCCAACGACCTCTGCGACGGGACCGCTACTTCCGAATCCACAGTTCTTGCGATAGCCGATCTCGCGCTTCGCATCGGGCGCATTCCCGGCGTGCGTCATGTGCTCGTGTGTAGTATCATACCGCGCTTGTACGTGCCGCAGTGGAAGCCGAACTTTAACTCGAACGTGCATGATACGAATCGTCTGCTTGCAAAATTTCTCGAAGGTTTGCCGAACGTTCATTTTTGGCGTCATCGCTCTTTCGCGCTCAACCACAACAAGCTTTTCTCGCATGACGGTTTTCACTTCAATGAAGCCGGTATGTTAAGGTACTACCGAAGTATCCGCGGCGCTGTCATGAAAGCTTACAAAATGGAGTGATTTTCGAGTCTTTTCCCCCTTTTTGTGTTAATTGTATTTAATATCGTTTGTGAAGCTTGATGTCTTTGTTGACACGAATTTATCTATTTTTATATCTCATTTTCCAGATTATGGTCTGAAGGACTGTTTTAATCAGCCTGTCGCTGTTAGCAAATCTGATTGACTCATGATCTGGAATCGTCTTCAACGGCCACGTAGATTGCACATGCGGTTAATTTGTCAATTTCAATTATTTGAATGAATTAATTTTATTAAGTAATTAAGTAACCTTATTTATTTTGAATATTACGAATTACACATTTATGGGGTTTCGACATGGTCCGAATATTCCCTTCCAATGTTGCTCTTTGATTAAGCCCATCGAAAGCTACAAATTGATAGATAACTAATAGAAAATCATTTTCATGTACACATACTTATATAGTAAATGTATTTCTTTGTATATTGTGCATATTTGTAATAATTTGAATTGTAATTTAGAATAAATGATTGAGTTACAATTTTATCTTCGTTTATGTCACTTGTTGTATTGTAGATATAGTAAGTTTCGTATAAGTTCAGGAAGGATTGTGTTTTCAATATTTCATTGAATTGTAGATTTTGCCTTGATTCGGCATGGACCCAAATACTTATTAATTGCAATTTGAACCATTTTGAATTTAGATTTTTATATAATAAATATAATCATGTTATCATTCTTGTGTAGAAAAAAAAACAATAAAATGAATAAATAAATGTTCAAAGAAATGTATCTTACGTTAGGGAGAGGAAAAGGGTTGTGTTAGGGTTTTTGTGATATGAACATTTGTATTTCTAAGATTATGGCAGTAATGTTGTCTTACTTATAATTTTTTTTTTTCAATTGTCATAGAATTAGATTAGCAATTGTTTTGGTGTTTGTTTGTTTGTACAAAAACGTTTTTTTATAAATGCACTGATTTGTTTGTATTTGAGCAAGATGACTTGAAAGTCAGCATGAAGCTGTTGAGTTTCAATAAATTTATTTCTGCACTGAAAATTAAGTATTTGGTTTCATTCTTTCAAAATTGAATTTCATGCCTAGTTGAGCGGAGACGCGAGAGCAGAAACGCTGTGCGGAGTTGGGAATGATGCGTGAGAGAGAGAGAGAGAGAGAGAGAGATCTATCGTTTTTTTTTTGGGGGGGGGGGGGGAGGAATGAGAAGAAAGGAAGATATTTGAAAGAGCACAATGTGTTAAGGCAAACAAATCTGACAAAATAAAGGGTTAATGATACATAACTATAAGTATAAGGGAACAAGCTGGGAACATATACTTATAATATGTATTTAACATCATAAATTATTTACGGATTGAGATTATTTTATGTTCGAGGTGCAATCGAATTGCATGTAACCATTTTGTAGCTTATTCCCCTAGGTAGCATGTATGATAAATGTTGTTACCAAATGCGACACAGACACGGATGACGGAATCTGAAGAAAAAAATATGAAGATAATTCTAATCAAGACAGGCCAACGCCCACGAAAATGTCGCTGACTAACGAAAATGTAAATTTCTTGTTATAAGTCTTGCATTAAGTAATCATTGAAAAATGTTCTAGATGAAAATAAAGTCGGAGGTCGTACTCGATTCCAGGTAAACATGGTCGGGTGGTCCATTAAAGCAATTGCGTAGAGTGAGATATATTAAATGGCGTAGCGTGGGTGGAAGGGCCCTTGAACAATGGGGGGGGGGGCAGTGTCTTACTTAATATACCTAACTCACAGCAATATTGCTTTAATGGATCACCGAGTCAAAATTCATCGTTTTCCTGGAATATATAGATATGTTTGAATGTACCATGGGGCGGATAAGAGGACATGTTTTATACATTCTTTTTTTTTCTCTTCAGACTGGATGAAAGAAACCCGAGTCCCTCTTGTTGGGAGATAGCCTTTCTGTTACCACTAAATAGAGTCAACCGAGGAAAGTTACTTATTAAAGAGATGGTTGAGTTCTGGTAAAAAAAAAAAATCAAAAAAAAAATCATGAACTTTCGTCTTCCTGTTATGTTGGTTTGAAAGAATGTACGCTCTTCAAATGCCCTGCATGATATTCGGAACATGGCGGAAAGGAAAGGAAACTTTTGGACCAAACATATGCCCCATGAGTGTATATCCCCATTATATGCATTTGTGTGTGCAGTGCCTTTTTCAGCACGTTCTAGTCAGTTTCTTTTTTTTTATTTTTTTATATATAATTCAATATCCTCGCAGTATACGGAGATACTAATGAAAAAACCATCAGCCTTTTCCAGACAGTTTCTTAAAATCACAATGCAGTCGCAGTACTTAACACCGATTGCGTTTGAGGGTTGGGATACATTTTCTTTGATTTTTCCTAAATTTCCTTACAAGATTGCATTTTCCCTTTACTCTTGGTTCTGCCATTCTTGATGTTAACGTTCGGAGTGTTCCGTCAGTTCCGATGGATATTCCCCGAGTGAAGTGGCGCCGAATTAACTGTTTTCTTGTTTTGACGCTGCTTTCTTCCACTTTTTAATTCCTTAAAGCTATACGATAATGTTAGGATATTCATTGTTTCTCCTTTACATTTTTTCTGTCATCTAATTCTATATAGCTTTTAATATATATCTCCCCTCTCTCTCTCTCTCTCTCTCTCCCATCTCTCTCTCCCTTTCACTCTCTCCCCCTCTCTCTCTCTCTCTCTTCCTCTTTCCCCTTTCTCTCTCTCCATCTATCTTATATACTCTTACCCACTGGAGATTGTAGTTTATTCTTCAGATTTTTCCTCCATCACGTTTCTTAGTCAGCGCCCCATAGTAACTTATACCGAATGGACAGTGAAATGATTCAAATCATTTAAAGCTTAATTATTATCATTGGGTCGTAAGAGCACATTATAGCAGGTCTATCTTCCACACCATACATCAACTGTTCTTCCCAGTGGCATAGCGTGTGTCCATCCAATTAGGGGGCGCTGGTGTCTCGCGGGGGTGGGGGAGGGGCTGAGAGAGTTTCCTTTCCTTTACTTTCTTCCATCTACCATTTCTCTCTCTCTCTCTCTCTCTCTCTCTCTCTCTCTCTCTCTCTCCCTCTCTCTCTCTCATCTCTCTCTCCCTCTCTCTCTCTCTCTCTCTCTCTCTCTCCCTCTTTCACTCTATCGTTCCTTCATTTCCCTTTGTGTTTTGTTTAGCTATACGTTCCTTTCTTTAGGGGGGGGGGGGCCGGGTTGCACCCGCACCTAGCCCACTATCTTCCCTTGTCATCCGGCCCATCATCCAGTGTTAATATTGCCTGGTGCCTCACCTAGTTCTGAGATTGACCCTTGTTGGTGTTAAGTCCAGAGGGTAGAGGTGCGAAATCGCAATTTCAGACATCAATCACCAACACGTGACGGGAGGCCAGCCGGTTGGCGAGGTGGCCCTATTCAACGACCCTAGTCCCACTTACCACTGTTCCTGTAGGCCTTCTCAATATTTTCAATACCTCATCAGAAACAAAAGGATAGTAAACAGGATACAGTAGTTATAAAACAGATTGAACAAAATTAAATCACCTTTATTTTCTCTTCTCATTCGATGTACTTTATCAAGATTTGGGTACAGTGACTTAAAGAAGACAAAAAGGAGGCTATTCCCGCGAGCAAGGTGCCCCTACAACGGACCTAGTCCCACATACCATTTTTCCTGTAGGCATTTGTCCCTCGCGTTCGGCATGACATTGTTACTGGATACATTATTCCTAAACAATCGAGCCCTATAGTAAAGATGAGTAGGAAAGCCATAATAGGAAAGCAACGACAAACTATACAGATATAGTTTTTAAATAAAAACATCTTAATCTGTGTAAATGCTTTTGATTCGTCTTATTATTAAGCATGATAAACTTAACCGCCGGGTACCTCACAAATAGGAAAGCTTAGAGAAGTGACACGATTGTTTACCTCATGGTAATTTTTGGTGTGATCAGGCGCGTACACAGGGGGGGGGGGGGGGGGGGGGGGCTTTTTCAGCGGTCGGCTGAGTCGTTGCGAAATTTTCGGCCCGATTTATAAATGTTAACCCCCCCCCCCCCCCCCCCCCCCTTGAAAAAATCCTGCGTACGCGCCTGGGTGTGATTGATTCACTTTTTCACTAAAATAATACCAACAACGTATTTTAGTGACTTGTTGTCTGATATTGATTATTCTACATCTCTCCCCCCCCCCTCTCTCTCTCTCTCTCTCTCTCTCTCTCTCTCTCTCTCTCTTTCTCCTTTTCTCTTTTTCTCATTTTCTTCATTACTCCTCTCTCTCAATCGCACACGCATACTTGTCTTAAGAGTTCGAAAATCGAAAGCTGAAATACAATATGCATTCTAGAACCCTCAAACTTCCATCAATGCCATACATGATTTATTCACTATTTCATCAAAATAATGCCAAAGGTGCATTTTAGTGACTTGTTGTCTGATACTAATCTCCGGGGACAATCGGTTCTTAGGTGATCGACGCAAAATAAAAATGGTAAATCACTTTCAAAGTGCATTGGTATAAAGCTCAAGGAGCAGTAGACTCGTTAAATTTGCATTTTTGCCTTCTATCGACGATGGATAATGGGAAACTAACGAGTAAATTGCACTTTTAGCGATCTTGATACTGAAATGAAAGATGTTCCACCCGAAAGCTTCGTGTTTGATGTATGGTGTCCGTGAATAGACTTTCCGAAAAGGAAGCGAACCTGGAGTGTCATAAAGAATGTCTGCTTTGATTTATCATTAAAAGATGGGACAGATAAGATTAATATTTTTCTCACTCACAGACAGACAAGAACAGACACAAAGCTTATCATGTTATATTTTATTACCACAAAATTGCAGTGAATCTCAGCTTACCTTTGAGGAGGGGTTACTAGACAAAAAACAACGTCATTGTCTAGCCATAAAACTTATCCTCCTTTTTGATAAGTAACAAAGTAACAAAATCAAAGCTTTCTCATTATTTTACTGTCTCAATGCCTTCCTCAACTTGCAATCGAACTTAACCAATAATTTTGTATTCATTGTTATTTCACTGAACTCAACTTGTCATAAAAATTACCCCATTTTTTAACTGTAACTGTATAATTCGTCCTTGTTTTCACGAAGTGACGGTAGTGAGGAAAATCGTAACGCAAAGTGAATGCAATTTTTTTCACTACCGTCACTTCGTGAAAACAGCGACGAATTGTTTTAAATGGGGGCAGGCTACAAGAGTCCTATCTCGCACCCCGGGGCAACGTGTCTGACACGGCTGGTTGTAGCAACTACTCCGAAGATCAAGATTACAGTAATCTTGATCTAAGGAGACACGAACGAACGAACGAATAAAATTATTTTTTAACAGGCTTAACATTTGTTTCTTATTCTACTGTCTCAAAGTTTTACCCAACCCAAAATAAAACCAAAAGAGACAGAGAAAGAGAGAGAGAGAGAGAGAGAGAGAGAGAGAGAGAGAGAGAGAGAGAGAGAGAGAGATAGAGAGAGAGAGTGGGGGAGGGGGAGATAAAGAACAACGCAATATCTGCGCACACTCACATACAAAAGTACATCATATTATCGGTATTACCCACAATGGCCATAAATTAGGGTACATGAGCATTTGTCTACATCAATAACCCACTTCTTGTATTGGCAAAATTAAACTGATTGAATCATTGCGCAGCACAAAACGTACGACCATTCTGTACAGTGGTCTGAAAATCAGACTATTACTTACTGACTTGGTAGCACATAAGTCGATCCGACAACTAATAGTCGTTATTTTCCCACTTATAGACATATTCAAGCCTCCCTCCCCCCTTTTTTTTTAGGGAAGTTCTAAATTAGTATTATTTTTCAAATGCCGTTTGAATATACCCTTTCATTTGTTGGGCCTGCAAATGGGAGAAAGTACCTTTAAAAGGTTGTGGATCAGTGTCAAGACATCTCTAACTTTTTTTTTAAATCCATCCATTGAATTTACCCCGTGAAATTTGGACAATCTCTGTTGATATCACTTTTGACAAGCTACAATAA